AGCTGAAGAACAGAATAAACTGGTGAATATAATAGAAACAGGGGCATAGAAAGGGAGTGGACTGACAATTCTTGGGGCAGAGGGGGGTATGGGGTATGGGAAAAGATTGGACAAAAATCTTACACCTATGGATGAGGACAGTGGCGGGGGGTAAGGGCATGGGGTTGGGTGGGAACAAGGTGGAGGGGAGCTATAGGGGGGGAAAAGAGGAACATCTGTAATAATCTGAACAATAAAGATTTATTTTAAAAAACACACACACAAAAAAAATAAAAGTGTGTTCCTCACGCCATCCCTATCAAGATCTTCTGGGCTGACTTGTTAGAAATACAAGAACTTCTCCAAATCACCTGAATCAGGGTCTTCCAGAATGCTTTGGAATCTGTATTTTACAAAAAGCTACCTAAAAGTATCAGATTTACATTAACATTTTTGAGATGTTATGACAGAGAAAGGAGAAAAGAAGCTATAAAAATTTTATCCACTTTCTAAAATAGTGTAGCACAACATCACAAATTTTAATCATTCATGAAATTTTAAAGGAAGAGTTATTTTCACACAAATAAGAAAAACAATGTTGAAAGAGAATTAGTCTTCTCAGTTTCACAAAACTAGCCAGCAGCAGTCCCTCAATCAAACGCCAAAGACCAGGTTCTTTTAATGACACCATGATTCTTCAGTGAGTGGTCCCCTACCCATGGCCATTATATCTTCTTACAAACCTGCTTCATTCACTTCAAATGACATATTCAAAACCACCTGTGATGATTTAGTACTATGTATGTGCTTGTTAGGTAAGGCATTGGGTCTTACAATCTTAGTAATTCCATCTTTTTGAACTAAAAATGGTTCACACTGTGGGGAAACATGGGACTTGGTTGGAAAGTCTGTAAGGAGGGTTCTCCAAAAGGTCAGGGGCCTCTAGGGAGGCCTCAGCTACAAGTGATGACAGCTCCTGCTTTGACTTTTTCAAACAAGTCTGAGCCCCCCGGATGTTTACTTAGACATGTCCTTGCTTAAAGGACACTACAGACACATGTGTCTTCTGAAGTATGCTTACTCTGCTGATAGTATCTAATAGTTCATTTTAGTTCAAGCTGTTGCTACAATAAAAGCCTAAGGAGACAGGCAAACAGGGCTGTTTGCTCCTATAGCCAAGCAGTACCTTAGCCCCTCTTTCACAGAAACATGTGTCAGAGTAATCCATTCATCCATCGCTCAAGGTCTGCCTGACAGTCCTGGCATCACACAATCTGTCAAAGAAATTTTACAGATTGGTAATTTTATGTGATTAATTTGTTCACAAAATTGTATGTAGTTATATTATCTGTTATTTTGTCCTCCTTTTTTTAAAATGTTGGTCTATTCCTTCCAGTAAGTACATAATTTTTACACAGTTGAGATCGTACTGTGCATAGTTAAGATGACGCAATTTTGTATCCCACAATAAGTATTACATAAGTAATTTTTCAAGCCATCAAAAAATTTTATAAAGACAGTTCATAATGGTTGTACAATTGAATTGCACATCTCAGAAAGAATTTCATTCCAAGAAATTTGGACTTTCCTAGAAGCTCCAGATACCTAGGAGACATAATTACTAAGGTAAGTTTCCTTAACACACCCTCTTACTTCTATAGAACTGTATGAATGATCACATTTTTTTTCTAATCACTTATTGCACCAAATATTCCTGCCCCAAGTGAAATCACTTTTATGACTCATGCCTTTATGTAACTTGGACATTTTGGTATTTTCACATGCAAATTGTCAGTCTTTTGTAGAAAAAAAAGGTTGAAAATAGAAAAAGGAGGGAAGCTGGATGGTAAAGTAGTATTCTAAAAGATCTTGTCTTTGAGACATTGCAAGGACAATTATATTAGTCAGAGTAGATACCCCGACATTTCATTGACTTAGCACAATAAAACTTTACTCTTGCCTATATCACTCTCCACAGTCCTATCAGGATGCAAGCTTTTCCCATATTGTAGTTCTAGCCTCCTCTGAGACCTCAGAGTTCTCTCCAATTCAGCTCATGGTAAAAGAGAGCAAGGGCCAATCACTGAAATGGGGTTATCATTTCACTAAAAATCCACTAGCCACAATTCAGTGGGCCATACTTACCTGCAAATGAGACTGGGCAATGGGTTCTAACTGTGGTCTAAAGAAAAAAAGAGAGAGAATGCACATATGGGTGACCACAAACAGAATCTGCTGTAATAAGGGAAAAGGAGGAAATCTGAAAGTGAAGAAGGAAGCCTGATGGAGGTGGCGACCAACATCTTCCAAATCCTAATATCAGAAATGAATTGGTATATGGATGGAAAACCAAACTCTCTCTCTCTCTCTCTCTCTCTCTCACACACACACACACACACACACACACAACGTGTTCTCTACAACACACTTCAATCACACCTATCTTAGGAACACACCTATCTTAGGAAACTGTAAAGAAAAAACTACAATTGACCCTTGAATAACACAGATTCGAATTGCACCGGTCCACTTATATGAAATTTTTTTTCAATATATGGTGACAGAAGATGGTTTGACTTTAAGTGGTAGGCACATGATACAATATACAGATCATATATCATGGAAATGTACACTTGAAAACTATATGATCCTGTTACCTAATGTTACTCCCATAAATTTAATAAAAAATAAACATATTGGAAAATTGGGGGGAGATTTATAACAATTTGAAAAAATGCGCAGATAAACTGTGTAGTCTACAAATATTGAAAAAAATTAAGAAAAAGGTATATCATGAGTGCATAAACTGTATGTAG